TGTGTCCCGTGACGTCTCATTGTTACGCTTCGGCTCACTAACCCCTTCCTCTGCTAACATGCCCCGAACCAAGTACAAGGGCTGTTCTGCAACTATGCGACAGTAAGTATCCCTAATAACGTTAATAGTGAATACTCCTTATTTAAATGTTATGGCCTTATTAGAATCAAAACCAGGATTCCGTCATCGTATGTGCTCCTGATGACTGGTGGCCCATTACCCAACCCAGTCTTAGTTTTATGAAGAAACCTAGGGGTTATATAGCCATTAGAATCACGTGAAAACTTTGCATTTATTTCGATACAGTAATCCCATAAATTCATATTTGCACAAAATATCTTATGCATTGTGCGATGACTTTCACGTTTGTGTCCAGAGAGTTTATGCAAGTAATGAGGCATAACTGAACTGGGACAATGCTGTTATAATCTGGATCATTTTACCAGTTTTTGGAATTTTTTTGTCATTGATAAAGTGAATGTAATATGCGGCGGTGTGCTTTAAAGCAAATGTACGTACGTACGTATGTGATGTATATTGGCGTCTTAGTTCATAGTAGATAATCAGCCGAATGTATTTTAAAGCCGTCATTACTTACTTATGATGTGGGATTTTTTTTTTTAATGTATGCAAGTGTCTTTTATGTAGTTAGCATATTAATTGTATACACCCTTATTAGTACTCACGATAGAAGTAATAAAATTCTGCGTATCGCACCAATTCTATTAAATAAACTAAATGATACTTGTGTGATAACGTATGTAAAATTCTTTCATATGGGATATATATAGATTTGCTAAAGCTTAAATGGCCCTTATATGCTGTACTCAATTTAAACTATAAAATTTTCACAAAACTTTTTTTCCCACAAGAATAATTTGAACATTATGTTGGAAGAAGATGCATTGTCCACCTCTTTCTTTGAACCCTCACAGTTCCAGTCTTCTATTTCAGCAAGCCCAGAAATTCCTGAAGTTAGTCAATCAGCTTCATTTACTACAGATTCTTTAAATAACATTAATCCATGGGATCCTCCTCAGCTTGATTTTTCAACTACACGTATTTTGGGTGTGGTTTTTTTTTTTTATTAAACAATAAATTATGCTAGTGCTAATATATATATCATGTTTAGCCGATGTCCTATTACCTGACGTGTATAATTCTGCTTTTGCGCAAGCTTCACCGGTCGCAGGGACGTATAACTGTATAACATATACTTGTTTATAGGTTTGATTGAAAAATTGATTAAGAAACTGATCAAATAATTTATTGGCTATAGCCGGCTACTAGTCAATAGTCGATAATATCTGACTGATAGCTGACTGTACCCATCCCTCTAACATGAGAAAGACAATTCTGAAGTGTTTCTTTCAAGGCAATATAGTCATCTATTTGTAATTCATCATTCTTTAAAAGTGCAATCAACACCTTTTCTTGTAGTGAGGTAAAATATTCTGAATTAAAAATCATGTTTGGATTTTTACAAAAATCTTTGAAAATTTTAAAATTGTTTTTGTAAGGGAAGCTTAATTGATAAACACGAAATATATTCGATCGAAGCCAAGATTCGTTGTTATCAATAAGGTAAGACTGAATATGATCAGGCAATTCTTAAGCGCTAATGAATTGACCGTAACTAATAAATCAATTAACGGGTTCAAAATTTTCTAAAGTGATTGTACCACCATAAAATGAATCTATATATCGAATATTAAAAAAAAATACTTCTAAGTTTTTTGCTTATAAAAAACATTCATTAATTATAATATTATTACTTACTTGATAATAACATGAGGTAATTTAAGTTTGAAAATATTATTCTTCCTTGTCGAATTTTTTAATATTTGATGAAATACAATGAACGATAATACAAAACTGTGCATTGAAAATCTTATTATTCGGGTTTTCTCCAACTTTAATAGCATCATCATGATCATACTCACTTTCAAGAAGTTACGAATAATCATGGGAAAGTTAGTCACAAAATTTGATGGTCATTTTTAACTATTGTTATGCCAAGTACGTATGAATGTAGTAGCGAGCATGTAAATACTAATCGACCTATAACTGATAAATTACAGAAATTACAGTATATGAGCTGTTGTTTAAGGATACGAAATGATCAGAATTACATTTTAATTATGTTCTTCTGTATAATAATATCGTGATTTGAGTACAAAAGGAACAACCTGAAATTGTTGATTTTAAAATTTCAATTCAGAAAAGAATTTTGTTAAGCCTGTTTCTGGCAGTGAAATATTAGAATATCAAAAATTTCGAGGTCTCACTTTGCGAACTTATTTCTGAAGTCGACATTCACCAATACAAACTACTGTAATACTGGGAGTGAGTAAGTTTTAACAGAATTTTTTATAGCAACTCATGATAAAAGTCACGATAATTTCAATGCAAACTAACTCAACCTTAACCACATACTATGTCGCCAGAATAGTGAATAAGTTCTCATGATAGAAGTTGCGATAATTCCAATATAAACTAACTTGACTTTAATTACATACTATGATCACCAAAATAACAAGTAAATTTTGTAACAAAATTTTTTTGCAGCATCTGACGATAGAAATTATATTAATTCTATTCACCAATCCTAATCTTATCCACAAACTGTAATTGCGAGTAACCATGTACTGTAGTCACCAGAATAGCAAGTTTTGTAGAACAAGTTTTTATGATAACTTATACAGTAGTAAAAATCATGTAATATAACAAAATTATTTATTACAGTATATTATAATTAAAACTATATGCGCCAACCTAGCTAGATAACAAATAAGTTCTGTAACAGAATTTTTTACAATAAATTATAGATAACTTCAATACTATCTCAACCACTGTATGTACCTCGTTAGCAAGTAAGTCTCTGTAATAGAATTCTTTAAATCATGATAATTCCAATGCATCAATTAAATCTTAACCATATATTGTGATCACTGAAATAACAAATAACTTTAAAAGCAAAATTTTTACGTAGAAATTGTGATAATTCCAAGATTACACAGATTTAATTTCTATGTGTGCATTAACAAGTAAGTTCTATAACAAAATCTTTACAGTGTCAGACCCGGAAAACGGCGAGTCTGTCGCTAAATCGAAAGGAGGTCCGTGTAACCAAAACCTAGGTTACTTTGGGTCGAAAGAGGCGTGTTAGATTTAGTCGAGTGGTATAGTTTAGTTTGGGACAGAACCAGGGTTTAATATAGTTTAGACAGGGCTCGTAACGAAGGTCTATATTAAGCGTTAGGTTTGATATACGAAACTTAGAAGTGTATAATTTTATTAGGAGTAAATAATCGAAATACGAAATGTATGGATTTATTAATTGTGATAGTATGATATAGGAAATAAAGCAAAGGTAGGAGTTCTTCTTCCCAAGGGCCGAAAAGGCCTTTATTTATAATTGATAATTCTATTATTTACATTCCCAGGAATCTCCCATATCCCAAATATCATCAATAAACCTTATAGTCCATATCTTTAAGATCCACCATTTCACCCAAATAATCCTGATCCTCCAGATCTGGGCGGTAAACCCAAATTAAGATTTACCAAGTCACGTAGTCACGTGCCTGCCGTCAGGTCACGTTTCCGGTCTCACAACAGTAACTCCTAGTATAATTACGATAATTCCAATACAACCTTAACCACATACTAAAATCTCCGTAATAATGATAACAGAGTTTTTACAGTAGATATCACGAAAATTCAAATGCAAGCTAATTTAATTTTAACCACTACTATTGTAACAAAACATCGAATAAGTTTATAACAAAATTCTTTTTTTTTTTTCAACCCCAAGATAGTAATTATCTGGGGACGTCGAGTGACGCGTTTATAACAAAATTTTTAATAATGACATAATAGAAATCAAAATAATTCTATTACTATGTGTATCGTATTAGCAATAAAAAATTTTATTCCTGAACTTTTTACAGTAACTCATGGTAAAAATTATACCTTAACTGCATACTGTAGTTACCAGAATAGCGAGTAAGTATTATAATAGAATTTTTTATGTAGAAATCATGTCAATTCCAACACTAACTCAACTATAATTACTATATGACTGCATTAGTAAGTTTTGTAACAAAATTCTTTATAGTAAATTGATAAAAATCATGATAACTTCATGCAACAAATCTAGCCCTAACTACATACTGTAGTCACCGGAATAACGAGTAAGTTCTGTAACAGAATTTTTTTACGATAATTCTAATATTACACGGCAACTATATATTGCATTGGCTTCAATAGCAGAATTCTTTGTAGTAACTTAGTAAAAATTACACTTTAATCACATACTGTGATCACTGGGATAGCGAGCGAGTTCTGAAATAAAATTTTTTACAGAGAAATACTAAAGTTCTGTAACAGAATTTTTTATAGTAAATAGATCGAAATCAAGTACGTAATTCAAATGCAACCAGTTCAACTCTACATACTGTAGTCACCAGAATAGCGAATAACTGAGATTTACAGTAACTCATAGAATACATGCTCAACCTTAATCTCAAAAATCAAATCAGCTAATATAAATATAATAAAATATATTTTATAATTGATTTTTGTAGATAATCTTATAATATGACTATTATCTGCAATACAAAATTATAAATACTATACAACTTAAGTCTAAAATCATCATCCCAATACAAACAAACAAATCCAAGACCTTAAAAAACTAATACACAATTTTAAAAATAATTCTAAAAAGTACAAAAATACAAATAAGAAAATAAGACTCATCTATTTAAGAGGAAATAAAATTAGCAAATAAATTTTTAATTGTACATAATGACAATTAATTAATGTCAAATAAAATTAATCATATATAATCTAAATCAATAATCTTAGGTAACACTATATTATTTAATAATAGACGTAACACTAGATTTAACCTTCATGTAACTAATCTTTTTACTGCAGTATATATCTATCTAGGGAAATAAGTTATAAAAATAGATTAGCGTTGTAAACTTTTTGAAATAACTATTATATTTACCAAGTTTAATACATTTTAGACTAAGACATACCTCTCATCTAACTTAAATTACCTCGTCATTTACCGAATTACTTTATTATAAATACCTTTATTAGATGTATTTAATATTTTTTGTACTTCTTGTGTGCTAATCCATTTGCTAGTGTACACAGATTTCAGATGCTTCGGTGAGATAATTTGTAATTCTTTGACTATTTTATCAGCGTATAAGAATTGCTTTTTAATTTCATCTGAATCTGTATCATCCGAGCCTTCCATGCTTTTATTCCATTTATCAAATTTATCCCAAACATCCCAAGCATTAGGCCGCTTATCCGGATTAGAATCCATACATTGTCTTGCCAATTCAACATAGCAATTAGGGGTTCCAGAAGCAAATGTTGGTCGCAATCCATTGCAAATATCTATTGCAAGAACAGCATTAAAATCATAACCATCAAAAGGTCTTTGTCCAGTTGATATCTCTGACATTATGACTCCTAAGCCATAAATATCAGCAGCTTTTGTAAACTTTTTTCCTAATAAAGCTTCTGGAGCAACATAAGGCATAACTCCATAAATACTGTCTTTTAAAACGTTATTATACATTTTAGATAATCCTAGATCCGTGATGTAAGATTGTATAGTTTTATTACTACCTTGATCTTGTAAAATATTGCCACTGTGAAGGTCAGAATGAATATATCCTGCATCATGAATTGTATATAAATCATTTGAGATATCTTTAAGCAATTTTAATTTTATCTGCCATGTAAGATCTTGAAACTTTGTTCTTAAAAAGTCATGAAGGTTTCCGCTATCAGCATATTGAAATACCATCAGGTATTCCTTTGTTAATGTGTCTTGAGTTAATCCATATATCATAAGCTTACTACCCCATCTTATACATTTTACATGACTAGTAAACTTTATATAAATGAATTAGTTCAATATATTTAATAATTTATAAAATAACAATAGTTTAACTTACTTCTTTCAAAAAATCAAATTTGTTTCCTTTAGAACTCGACAAGGTCTTAAGTGCAACCATACTAGATGCTTTACGATCTCTTTTATCATTACTATCAATTC